GGAGTTGGGGAGCTCCCAGGAGAACTTGCGGGGCCCCTTGGAGAACTTGGGGAGCTTCCTGGAGAACTTTGGGGCGCTGCAGGAGAACTTGGGGGACTCCATGGAGAACTTGGGGGGCACTGAGGGAGACCTTGGGGGACTCCATGGAGAACTTGGGGGGTACTGCAGGAGGACTTGGGGGGCTCCCTGGAGAACTTGGGCACTGCAGAACTCGGGGGCTCCCTGGAGAACTTGGCGGCACTGCAGAACTTGGGGCGCTAGAGGAGAACTTGGGGCGCTGCAGGCGTCTTAGTAAAGTGAGGGGGCGGTGAGGGAGAGCCTCGGGGCTTCGGGGTCACCGAGTCCCCTTCTCCATCCGGAGTCTCCCCTTTCCCAGTACATCCGCATCAGCTCTGCGTGGAGCGCCCTGCCCAGGCTGTGGGCACAGGGAGCCCGGGCCCTGCCTCCTGGAGCTGGCAGCGGGGGTCCCAGTCACCCCACAGGGAGCTGCGGTCCCTGGGGGCGGCATCTCCTGGCCACCCTGCAGGAGCCCAGCCGGTGTCCCGTTCGCCTGGAGGGTTTGGGTGTTGTCCTGTGCACGGGGGCGGGGATGAGCAGGGAAGAAAAGTCCCCTTTTAGTACTTAGGGCACCATCCTATGTTAAAGAGATTTAAATAGATTTACACATTTTTTTATTGAGTTTCCTGGGTGACATTGGTTAATACAGTTACACAGGTTCAAGTGTACAATTGTAGATCTCACCGTCTGACATGTACTGTGTGTTCACCACCCAGTCAGGGCTCCTGTGCCCCCGACCACACCCCATCCCGCTCCCTCGGCTCTTGTCCGAATGAGTTTGTATTTTTTGCTTAATCCCTTCACCTTTTCCCCAAGTCCCAGGACCTTCCTCTCCTGGGACAGCTGCCGGTCTGCTCGCAGCTTCTGTTGACTGTCAGGTTCTCTGTAGTTGGCATCGGACGGCTCCCTGGCTGTTGCTGTATTTTGTGGACTGACGGCTCCGGGTGGCTGTACGCAGTGTTTTCATATAGTGAACGGGCTGTTTGCCGCCTGGCCAACAGCTCTGAGTACGCGCACACACGCGCGCACACACGCACACACGCACACACACACACATACACGCACATACACATACGCACACATACACACACATACACATACGCAGACGCGGGCATACACAGACGCACACATACACATGCGCGCACATACATACACCCCCCACACGCGCACATACACACACGCACACATACATACACACACACACGGGCATACGCAGATGCACATACACATGCGTGTACATACATCCACACACGTGCGCGTGCACACACACACAACATGTTTGGGGCAGGATGTGAATTTCTATGTTTGGACTGTAGCAAAGTTCTGAGTGCGCCTCTCTTTTTCTACAGTTATTCTTACATACATCTGAAGGTATTTCTCTTGGGTGATTAATTCGGGGGATGCTGGTCCCTTAGTTTTCATCCTCAGCTGAGAAGGAAGAAGTGGATTCCAGATTAAGTGCCCCAGTTCTGTAGGGTGAGAGATTGATTTTAAATATGAGACAGACATTCTAACCAAGTTTGTTAGTGGAGGAATCTGCTGAGAAGATAATGTTGTGAAATTGTTCGGTTGGACTAGTGCATTGTAAGGGTATATTTTTGCCATTCAAAGAAAAAACTGCACTTTTCAGAGAGGAATGTCAATATATATATATATATTTTTTTCTTTCCAGCAAGTGAAGATTATGGTTCACATTCAGAAAGAAAAGTCACAGTTAGTGTTACATGGATCTCGTTTTCCATGAAAAGAGTTGCACTAACTACATTACGGCCTTTTCTCCTTGGCGCTTTCGTGGACGGGTGGGCAGGTACCGGAGAAGCAGTTACCCCAGCCCCTGGATCTTACAGATCAATCTGAGAGGCTGACAGCTTCAGGGGTGTGCACAGGATCGCAGAGGAGACTTGGCTGGTGGGGCACACACAGTACAGCGTCCACACGGCGAACTGCGGAATGTGCGCCGGAATTAACTGGCCTTTTGCTGCACCACGGCCCTTTCCTTGGGGCCAGTTTGCTGGGATGAATTATTTAACCCTTAAAGCCAGAACTGCTTTGTTATAAGAGGAGAGAAAGATATAAATGGTTATGCTTTTGTTTTTAAACTTTTGGGACAACTTCATTGTAAGGTAAGCTCACAAAGTCAGCAGTACATGTTACGCATACACAGAAATTGTATTGGATTTCATCTTTGGAGAATCACAAAACCATGATGTGTGAAGCTAGCAGCTAGCAGCTCCTCAGGCCTCCTGGGCGGAGTTTTCCTGTGTTTGCTTCGCTCTGGATAAGGAAACTTTTATAACTACTGAAAAGCGTTGGAATGATACGGAGCCAACGTGGACTCAGCTTGTAGTCTGAACAGGCTGTGCTGTCATGACATTTAGCAGAGGTAGTTCAGTATTCCCTTCTCAGCTGCAGGTAATAACGCGGGGAGAATAATTGGAATGGAGTTATTAAAAATTGTTGGTGAAGCATGACCTTATGCCCGAGGTGTGAAATAAGGTTTAAAAGACCCGAGTGGATTCAGGTCCTGTGTAGATAGACATTTCTAGAAATCTGAAGGATTTTAAAACTTTTTTACTTGATACACGAGATGTACAATAAACTTTTTCTGGTTTTATTTCAGATGTTGGATGAAAACAACCATCTCATTCAGTGTATAATGGACTATCAGAATAAAGGGAAGACCTCCGAGTGTTCTCAGTAAGATGGATTTGAAATTTAAAAAATTTGTATTTTTCTGCGTTGGTTTACTTTTCTTTTTAATAACAGCTTTATTGAGATCTAATTCACATACCATACAATTCACCCATTTTAAAGTGTGTAATTTAAGGTTCTTAGAATATTCATAGGGTTGTACTACTATCACTTTAATCAATTTCAGAACATTTTCATTATCCCCAACAGAACCCTTTTACACATTAGCAGTCACTCCTGTTTCCAACCCCTAATTTCTTACCCCTGACAACCACTAACCGTTCTGTCTGTGTAGATCTGCCTGGTGGGGCCATTTCATTTAAATGGATTCATATATCGTGGGGTATTTTTGACGGACTAATTTCACCTAGCACGTTTTCCAGATTCATCCTGTAGAAGCATGAATCAGTACTTCCTTTTCATTGCTAACAATCTTTCCTTGTCAAGAGCTATGCCACTTTTATCCATCAGGGATAGACGTGTGGGTTGTTTTCACTCCTTGGCTACTGTGAGTAATGCTAGGATGAGCATCAGTGGACACAGTTTTGTGTGAAAATTTGTGCTCGGGAAGGCACTGGGTGCTAATTTTCTCACGCTCCTTACCCTGCACCATAGCATAAGGACTTCACATCTGTGTGTGGTCTGATTTGTGGAAAAGTTACGCCTTCACGAACACGGGACCCTTAGTTACAGCCGTATGTGTGATGGAGGAAGCAGAGGGCAGGCCTCATACATAGAGAACTGGTCATCCCTCCAAGAACCCAGTTGGAAGTGTTATATCGGAAGTAAACAGTATTCCTTAGGAGAGTGCTGGAATGGAACAAGTTGAATGTGTTATCAAACGTCTAGAGCTGTGATGGCGAACCTTTTGAGCTCGGCGTGTCAGCATTTTGAAAAACCCTAACTTAACTCTGGTGCCGTGTCACATATAGAAATTTTTTGATATTTGCAACGATAGTAAAACAAAGACTTACATTTTTGATATTTATTTTATATATTTAAATGCCATTTAACAAAGAAAAATCAACCAAAAAAATGAGTTCGCGTGTCACCTCTCACACACGTGTCATAGGTTCGCCATCACTGGTCTAGAACAACACCATCTGGTAGAAATGCATTGTGAGCCACATATGCACTTCTACATTTGCTAGTAGACACATTAAACAAGAAGAAACAGGAGAAATTAATTTAAATAATGTATTTTATTTAACTCATTTCAAAACTGTCACTTCAATATATAATCTATAAAAATATTAATGAGATACTGTGGGTGTTTTTTTTTATGAGAGACAAACATTGATCATCCGCCTCCTGCACACTCCCTACTGGGGATCAAACCCGCAACCCAGGCACATGCCCTTGACCGGAATCGAACCCAGGCTGCAAATGCTCCATCCGCCGAGCCAAACCGATTAGGGCTAGTTCACATTCCTTCGCTTCATATTAAGTCTTTGAAGTCCATTGTGCATTTATTCTAAAATAACATCATTTTGGATGGTCACATTTCAGTGTGTGCCTGGAAACGCCTAGTCGTGGTCTGGGGAGGTGGGCAGTAGCCGCAGCCGGCAACACGCAGTCACTGCCGCTGCGGGAGAAGGAAGAGTGGTCCCGCCTTCGCTGCTCCTGAGCAGAGCCTGGTGGCTGCTCGCGGGGTCGCAGTTTTGACAACATGGAGCTGACGGAGGGAATAAGCACACAGTTCCCGTGACCTTCATTCCAGACCTCTCAGAGCAGCGTGTGCTGTGAGGGAGGCAGCGCGGCCTCGATGCTTCATTGCCTCCGCTGTGCAGTCTCCTGCAGGCCGCTCCCTCACTTGTTTCCTCTGCAAAATGGCGAAAAGAAGAACTTTTACTCGGTAGAGCTGGTTTGAGGATTGAGTGAGACAGGGAACTACATAAAATTCACTATAACAACATCAAGCACAGGGCACCTCTGAATTTCTCATCTCCAAGGGTAGTTAGCGGGATTATTTTGCAGAGGAACTAGGAAAAAATGAAATGCTATTGATGTCCAGGTAATACGTCTCTTGTTAGCCTTGAGAAATGATTTCGATGCTGTTCGTATCCAGGCAGGTAGGGAGAGTTAGTGTATACTGATACTTGTCTTGTTTTCATAGGTACCAGCAGATGCTGCACACGAACTTGGTCTACCTGGCCACGATCGCAGACTCGAACCAAAACATGCAGTCTCTGCTGCCCGCGGTGAGTCCCTCCGACGGCACAGGCGCCGCACAGGCCCGTGTGCGGCACAGTTTGTGCAGTGACTTCTGGGGTTTGTTTAAACCCGGCCCCGCCCCCCAGACAGGAAGCTGTTTACCTCGGTGACCTAAGGGTTGGATGTTTGCCTTCGGGTTTGATTTAATTCACCTGGAACTGATCCCGCCCGAGGACGTCCTGTTCATCCACCCATTCACCCACACACCTGTCCGTCTGCCTGTGTCGTTATTCATTTTCATATGTGATCACACAACTAACTTATGAATAAGTCTGTAGTATTTCAGAGCAAACCCAGGTGTCTCATAAGTTTACTTGTAAGTACTTCAGTCTGCCTCTTTATATCAGATAAGGACTATTTCCCACCCAACAAAAGTAACCAACGGTTCCTAATGTCCTGTAATACCCGCAGTCTACGATTTTCACTAGTTACTTGAAAAATCCACTGATGTCTTCATGATTGTTCGCCACAGAATCCAAACAACGTCCACATGTCGCATCGATTGATGCGTCTTAAGTGTCACTCCGTCTGTATCAGGTGTCTTTTCTGTTCTCCATTTATTTGTTGAACAAACTGGGTCATACAGTGTGTAGAATTGCTCACATTCTGGACTTGGCTGATTTGACCTTCATGGTCCTAGCGCATGTTCTGCCCATGGCACCTTCTTTCCTATAAACTAATAATGAGAGCTTCGGAGAGGCAGGTTAGTTCTGTGGCTCATTGGTGGTGCTGTGGTTTGCCTGCATCAGGAGGAACGTGGTTGGCTGTTCCATTTTTGGTAACGGGAAGTCTGAACTTACAGGGTTTTGTATTTTTAATGTGTTTAAATCCATTGCAGTCACTCTCTGATCCTCAGGGTCTGGCGTCTGTGGTGGTGGGAGCCCCTTCAGTGGCTCCTGTGTCCTGCGGTGGTCGCAGTATCTTGTGGCGACTCTGCTTTGAGGATTTGAGGATTGAGGGAGAGATCAGATTGATTATATGTTTGTCCCAGAACTGTTCTGTCTACGCTGTTTTCCGAGTCCTTTTTCAGTGGGAATTGATATTTAGAGACCACAATTTGTATGTTTGGGGCATTCATTATTGCTGCATTTTCATTGTTTCTTAGGTGTTTTCAGTGGACAGAACTAGGAAACACATTTTTTTTTAGAAAAAGAAATAAAATACTGGATTAGTGATATTTCCCCTTCAGGGAAGGTTTTTTTACTTAGCTTTGATATTATGTGTTAGTATCTCTTTCATCTTACTCTAAAAATCTTGGTACCTTATGACATTATAGTAGTTGTTGGTTTGCTATATACTACTATCAGTAAAAAATAACTCTAATATAACACTACCAAGTTTACCACTAACTGTAAGATGCTTCTCCTTAAGATGTATCCTACTAAGGGTATATAATTAGTAAATTTTGTTTTGAATCTGAAATAGTTCTTTGTGTGATGATTGACATGAATTTGACCAGCTGAGTGGAATTTGTTTTTGTTAATAACTGTGTGAGGAATAGGTTCCACTTTGTTTCCACATGGATAGTTCTCTGTCCCAGCATTATCTACTGGACAAACGAAAGTATCTTTCCTTCATTTGTCATGCCGTCTGTATCGTGAATAGCAGGCGTCCACATACGTCTGTCTGATCTCTCTCTCCTGTTTCATTGGTCTGTTTTTATGAATTCCACAGTCTTAGCACACTTGACAAGTCTAGTAAGTCTTCATGTATTAGAGAAGTTCTTTACTCATTCCTTATTTTTTTCAGAATAACTTGGCTATTACTGCTTTGTGCTTCCATGTACACTTACATTTCAGCACGTCCAACATAATCCTCAACGTGACCTGGACATTCCCTGGCCTCTAAGTCAGGTGGGGGTGAATGGGTATTTTTACAATAGCGAGTCTTTCAAATCACGATCATTGTCTATATTTTCACTTATTTAGTCCTTTAATATCCACCAATGAAGTTTTATGATTTTCCTGCAGAGGATTTGCACATCTCTCTTCATGTTTTTTTTCTTTGAGGCAGTTAAATAGAGTCTTTGTGTTTTAAGTTTTATTTTCTCTGATTGCTGTTTACCTGGGAATGCAGTTGATTTGAATTTCACAGTCTTGTTCAACCCTTGTTTCTAGTAATTTTTCTGTAGATACTTTCAGTTTTCTGTACTCACGACCATATTATTTATGAATAATTGGTTTTGCTTCTTTCTTCCAATCCTTACACCCTTTATTTCTCTCTCTTGACTTGCTCCTCTGGCTAGGACCTCCATGCCTTCCGAGTAGCCGTGGGGAGAGAGGACTCCTGGTCTGTGGCTGACCACAGGGAGCTGGCCCTGGGTGACAGGAAGTGCGATGTGCGCTGTAGTGTTTGGTAGATAATGTTTCATCAGGTTAAGGAAGTTCCCTTTTGTTTCTGTTAAGAGTTAATATCTTGAATGAATGTTAAATTATGTTTAAATACTTTCTATTGCATCTAATGAGATCATAAGTTTTTCTTTCATCTGTTAATGAGTGAACTACATTAATTTACTTTTTAATGGTCAATCTTGATTTCTTGTAATTAACATACTTTTTCTCTGGTCTTGGTCTTAAAAATTTGCAGTATTTAGTTAACATTTTGATCAAAATTTTTATGTCTTTGTTCATTAGTGCAATTGACCCTTAATTTTTTTTTTTCTTAAAGAGCCTTTGGTCTTTTTTGTGAGGTTATGCTAGCTTCATAAGCTGAGCTGGAGAATTTCCTAATCTGGAATAATTTGCATAATAGAGCTGCAGTTTCTTAAATGATCGTGTAATTCTTTGAGAAGCCATCTGGCTTTTCTTTGTGACAAGGCTTTTACTTAATTTCCTTCGTTGTTTTAGGATAATTTATATACTTCTGTGTTTTATGAGTTGCCTATTTTTATAGTGTTTTTGAACATTTTATCTAACTTTTCAAATTTGTTGGCATAAAGTTTATGAAATAATGTTATTTAATGTCCTCAGCATATATAGCGATATTTTCCTTTTTTGTTTCAACAGTTTATTTGTACCTTCTCTTTTAAAATATATTTTTTATCTCTCTTGCCTGGTGTTTATCACATTTTTTTCAAGTCTTTTTAAAGGATCTTTTTGTTTTGATATTTCTCTGTTGCAGCATTTCTCAGGACTTTTTGTTTTCAGAACCCCTTTACATTTAAAAATTATTGAGGATAACAGAGCTTTACGTAGACTATATAAATATTCACTTAAAATGGACAATATAAAATGAACAATTATAAACCTATTGCGTGTTAATATAAAATTCTTTAAAGGAAAATTGAACTATATCTTGAGAACAAATTTAGTGAAATGTGAATGACATTGTTTATAGTAATCTTGCAAATTTCCTTTAAATGTTTGGCTTAATAGAAAACAGCTGTATTGTTATGTCTACTTCTGGATTTAATCTAGCTTACTATGTTTAAGTTGAAGTAGAGTAAGATCTAGTCTTACACGGATGGAGTTAGGAAAGGGAAGAATGTTTTTTTTGTTTTTTAAAAATATATTTTATTGATTTTTTACAGAGAGGAAGGGAGAGAGATAGAGAGTTAGAAACATCGATGAGAGAGAAACATCGATCAGCTGCCTCCTGCACACTCCCCACTGGGGATGTGCCCGCAACCAAGGTACATGCCCTTGACCGGAATCGAACCCGGGACCTTTCAGTCCGCAGGCCGACACTCTATCCACTGAGCCAAACCGGTTTTGGCGGGAAGAATGTTTTAATAGCTTTTCAGATTGTTGTGAATAATCTGATAGTATAGCAGATCCCCAAAGATGTGTTTTTTAAGGTTAATTGAAGTATGAAATCTAAAATCGTATCTTACTGATACATTCAAGTTCATTGGTCTGTCTTGCATTTTGGATGGGTCTTTTACTCATGCACGATTTTGTGACATCATGCTTTGGTCATTCAGAAAATAGAAGGTCACTGAGTATGCACTTCTCTAAACAGGGACATATTTCATTATATGATACCCAAAACCACATTTGGTAAATCACCATGTTACCGCCGTCTCATCAGAAAAGTCTCTAATGTTAGGGAACTTGAGCTCAAGACAGTAGTTTGCCAGAAGTTTGCCAGATTCCCAGCTCTTGCTTGAAAAGCCAGCTGATCCTTGGCTGCAGATGCTGGGAAGGTGCCGGTCCACGAAAACGACTTGGGTTGGCAGGCCACGCTCATTGCGCTCCCACCTCACTCTGATGTGCAACACAGGTGGCTGTTACTTCGTCACTGTCACACAGAATGTTTAATGGACATGGAGCACTAAATAAATGAGTAATTTTTACTGCTTCCTCAAGTACATTCTTAAGCAAAATGACCTTTTCTTCCTTTAACTGCTGTCTGTGGCAGTCAGTAATACGGTGATTTCCAGTCACTGAAACTGAATACGGCGGGAGGGTCAGTTTTGAAACTTGACTGACGTAACGCCATTCACTGAGGTTGAGTGTATAAACATGTCTCTTCACCGTGAAACAAAGCTGAAAGCTGATGGAATTGCTTATCTGGCTTTCACTTAATTCATTACGAGTATAAGTTTTAAAAATCCCTAATTTAACCAGATATACGTACTTATTACAATTTAAATTTATTAAAGATAGTTTTGTTCAGTAGATGTTCTGTACAACAAATTAAAGTCTGTGCTATTAATAAAATTGATTTATAGTAAGCTGTATATTTTTATTTTCTAAATGCGTTTTTGGCGACGCTGCCTGCACTTGACGTTCTGAGCACTGTGGGCAGCACCTGGCTACCTCTTGTTGCACAGGCTTCAGTGGGCACAGAGCTAGTCAGTCCTCAGGCCGTGACCGTGCTGGGCGCGTCGGTGCGTCAGAGGCTGAAGTTTGGTGCAGAGTTCGCTGCTCACAGGTGCGATCCAGTGCAGGGAGGGCACAGCTTCCTGTGCGCGCCTTGAAGATGAGCACAATGTATTGCAGTCATCATTTTTTTTCATTTATAAATTTTAACTTAACTTTTAGCA